ATTTAATTATTAAAATATTTTAATTTTTTTAATATTAATTATTATTAAGAAAAAGTGTATATTAGTGCTACTTTAAAAATAAATTGAAATCTCAACTTTAAACTCAATCTAAAATTTAAAATTTTATTTAATTAAATATTGATATTTAAATATAATTAGTTTTCAAATTTAGATATTAAAATTTAATATAGTGGTTTTTTAAATTTTAAATTAAGATTTTAGTTTTTAAATTTAAGTTAAAAATGTAATTTTTTTCAAGATTAGAATTGATATATACTAATATTTTATGGGGTTAGTGTTTTTCCGCCTTACTTTCAAAAAATTAAGAGGAAAAAAAGATAAAAATCATCTTAATGCATATTTTAAAAATATGATATTTTAATCTTTTTCAATAAAAATTTATTGAAATGACGTAATTTTGGAATAATTTTTCTCCTAATCTTTAGAAGTTAAGGTTGATAGACACTATTTTCATATTTTATTATTAATAATATTTTTATCTTCTATTATTTTACACAAATGTTTTTTAATACATTCCCATTAATATGGATCTTTATATTATTATTTTTTATTGTTAAATATAAATTCATTTTCACAATAAATTGTTATTTCTAAGTCAAGCAAAGGGTCTGCCGACCTAATGATTCAACAATTTAATATAAACTTTTTTCACCATGGTAAGGGTTTGATCCCCTCCCTCGTCTCTCGCCTCTTGAACCACTTGCCCTAATAAAAAAAAAAAAAGTCAAACAAAGAGTTTATTAGGCTTACATAAAGAATTTATTTAATTTATACTTTAAAAGTATAAGTTAAAAGTATGATAGGTTTTTCTATCTCGAATATCTTGCTTGGCATGCCACATGAATTCTTTATTGGATCCTATAAATACCCTCCCCGGACCACGACAAAAGGTAATTGAAACCAACCCTAAGTTCCTTTTATCTATGCTATAAATGTAGTCTCGATTATTGCTGACTTAAGCATCAGAGTGTCTACCCCGAGTTCCACGTCGGGGCTTTGCAGGTCATTCTGGAGTGTAGACGCGGACTGAAGAAGGACTTCTGGTTTGGTGCAATTAATTTAAAATCAATACTTACCCCTTTTTCATATAAATTAATTATAAAATAATAAATTAATTACACCCCTTAAAAAATACATATTAAAAAACCGTTACATAAAAGGGAAGTAGGTTGGTAGGCTTAAATGACATTAATTTAGACAATTTTTGTTAACAATAAATTATGGATAATGATACCGGAGACGATTTTCATGAAACGAAATTGCGGGACGATCTATGTGGCAAGCCACGTGAGCAGACACACGGCATATTTGCCGCAGAGCCCGCCCGAAATTGGGACTCTAACTTTGTTGTTCTGCCCCTTTTAAACCCGAAATCCTCCTCTGGTTCCCATCGCGTGTATAATCAGATCCTCCGGATGTGCACGAACTGGTTCAGTGAGTTTCCAATTTTCGGCCGTTGCCGCCGCGATGCGTGATGAGTACCACCTTCACCACTCAACAGATCAGGCTTCGCCCATGCTGATTTTGACATTCAGCCGCCTTCAT